CAATCTTATTAATCATACAATCTTATAAATCATTAATATAAGTTTATTAATGACTGAATTCTATTTTATATCTCCATTACTTAGTTTTCCTTCCAAAAGATTTGAAATCTTTAAATTGTTAAACATTACAAATCTTACTGCTTAAATCTGAATTTTTACTGAATTGATAAATGGACCAGTATTTCTAAAATAAATTGAATCAAACTAGCAGTCAGCAAACTATTATTTATATGGGTTGGAAAGGCAAATTGGAGAATCACCACATAAGAGTCCTAGAGGGAAACTAAAAATAAACTTTTAGATCTTCTTAGGAACTTTGTAAATGGACAAGCTCTCAAATTAAGGGGAAAAAAAAAAACCCAACAGCCCCCCTTGCCCCCTCCCAAAAAAAACTGCCCATGCCTCAGCCTCAGTTTTGTGAAAATGGCAAACTGCTAAAAATTGAGTGAATAATTAAATATATGCTAGTAAGATTAACTTTGAGAATTTATGAGATAGTGGGGACATTAAAGAATGAGATTCTTTATTCAGTGCATGACTGTCAGCTGGTGTGTGGAGCCATTTGAGCTAGTCCCGTAACTGTGCCCTCACTCCATGAGCTACCCCGTGTCCGCAGTGGCATTGCACTCCCCTGGCGCAAGCCTCTCCTGAATCCCCCAACAAGTCCTAGTGGTTTAGAGACAGGCTTAAACTGGCAGAGGGTGGGTTTGTATGCATTCTACAGTAAAGTATGCCCAACCCCACCCCATCCTATTGGATCAAACCTTCTTAAGAGATATTTCAACCAACATCTCTGATGATATGAGGTGTCCAAATATCAAAATAGTCACGATGTGGGAAACAATGGCAACAGAAAAATTAAATTTCCTTACTACTTACAGCCCTTTGACAAATCCTAGAAACAAGCAGTGACATTCCTCTAGGAACTCAGCTACCTTGATGTTAATACTTTGCTAAGGGCTAAAGGCAATCTGAGCCCAACCCCCAGAATCCTGTAAGTCTACTTTGACATATAAAAATTCCTTTGGAAACTTCCTTTAACTCTCTCCCCCAAGATAATAGTTGGCAGTCATTCCCCCGAATATAAGACCCACCAAAAGACATCTGACCCCAGTGAAGCTCTTTCTGCCTCAGTCCTGTCCCTGTGCTTTAATAAAACTACCTTTTTGCACCAAAGACATCTCAAGAATTCTTGGCTGTTGGCTTCAACCCGAACATCTTTCCTACGTCACTGAGATTGGCACATATATTGCAGACTAACATTAATATCAATTAAAATGTGGTTATAAATGAAAGATGATTACTTGCCTTCCCAAATGTTCATATTCTGTTGAGTCAGAAATAAAGCACTGTATACACTTGAATTGATATTTTTTATTCCTTTCATTGTGAGTGGCATTAGGGGAAAAAAATGGGAGAGGAGTCCTACAAGGAAACCTATAATAATCAGACTCCAAGGTCTCATTTCTATCATTATCTATTGTGAATAATTATCCACATTTTACTTATTTCATCTATTTAAATCTTATCAATTGTGTTCAACTGATTAAAATGGACTAATTAATTATGTTTTAGAAATTTGGGGGGTATCATAGGATTAAGATATTTAATAAAACACATTTTTGTGATTAAAGTCTCAGAAGAATCCCTTAAGTGTTAAGTCCTACTTCCCGAACCCCTTGTAATGCACAGTTCATTCTGAAGCAGGAGTAAATCACTGAAGTGAACATTTTCTTCATAATGTCACTACAAAATAGCATAAAAAGTATTCTAACTACATGCCATGAAATTAAAACAGCAGACCATGACTGGTAGGAAATAATGGATTTATCTCAGTTTCGTGAAGATTTTTTTTTTAAGTAGCATTTATGGATAAAGTAATGAATATTAAATCGTTCACACACCTACAATGATTAAAGAACTCTTTTCACTTATGCTAGCGACTCTGCGAAGGGGTGAGATTTTTGTTCAGTTTGAACAAAGAGACTTAGAGATGTTAAATAGTGTCAGGTCAGACAGAATGAGGAGTTTGAAATGCAAATGGAAAGGAATCAGGTGAAAGTTATTCAAAAAGTTTAAGATGTCCTCACTTTGAAAATAGGACCCAGTTCTGGAACTCCAAGACGGATGCTCAGGTGTGGTTCACAGCCCAGCAACAGCAGCATCTCCTCAGAAAGTATCTCAGCTCCAACACAATCCTGTTAAATTAAAATCTTTTTAAAGAAGATCCTCAGGTGATTCAGATGCACATTTATATGCACATTTAAGTTTTGGAAGCACTACCATGATGGGGAAGGATTTTGAAAACTAGGCATGACTGGAAGGAAACAACATGGTTTTATATAACAGGAAATCTTCTTTAGAATGGGTGTTCCTTAAAGAGTGAGGGCTTTTTATTTTTATGTTTTTTGCATTCTCAGCACCTAGTATAATGCCTGGCTCGTATCTGACCAGTGAGAATGGATGAGTAAATTATGTTAAAGTAAAAACGGAGCAGTCAAGTCAGTGATGCAACGCTATTTGTTAAAAACATTAAGGATGGTTGGCTCAATGGGCAAGTACAAGGACATTTAATAGGGACTCCTGAAAAGCAGAGTAAGTGAAAATAGGAAAAATGTTTGCTCAAACATATAATGGAAAAAAAAAAACAAAACCTGTCGTGCTTATTCAGGAATAAAGCACACAAAGGTTTTGAGCATCGTATGAATAACTTGATAATTTGATAATTGTAGTTTACAGGGCAAAGTGTGATACCGGAATGTGAAAATATTTTCAGTTTGCTAAGCCCTATTATTGGCCCATTATCCTGATCCAACTTTACTAGAATTCTGTGCTCTTTGACCAAGGGAAAATCTAGAATGTAAAGTGGGTTTAAGATAAAAATCCCTTGAGAAAATTAAGACTTAGAGGATATCCCAGAGAATGCTCCTAATTATTTCAAAACTTTTGTTCACCATAAGGCCGGTGAGCAAATTCTGACAACCCAGATTAGGTCAAGTTTCGCAGGCAAAGTCTCCAGAGACTGCCCACACTTCTGACACCAGCGGCCAGCTCTGAGGATCCTAGGCCACTTGTACTTGTTACCAAGAGGGTATACATTTGGCAGTCCCCACTATCCCCTCAGGTTCAGGTTCTAGGGTGCACCAGAAAAATTCACAGAACTCAACAAAGTGCTATAGTTCCCATTTGTTTTGTTATAACGTTTAGGAATCAGGGCCAGACACAAGAAACCCCCTGGGCAAGGTCTGGGTGCGTTACAGACACTAAGCTTCCTTGTCCTCAGGACACATCAGCCTCCGGGCACATCATTGTGTATCCCCAACCCCAGAAGCTCTCCTGAGCCTTCCTGTGGTTTTTATTAAGCCTACAGAGCCATGATTGACTGAATCACTGACTACAGAGTCTTTGCTCTTCTCTGGAGGTTGGGCTGATACGATGAGGCTCAAAACCCCAACTCCTTGGTCAGTCACAGGGGTAGTCACTCTGGCTTGATGGGCCCCTACTTTGGAACCATCTAGGGACCCACCGTGAATATCACAGACATACCCATCACTTGGAAATCCCAAAGATGAAAAACTCCTTCCAGAAACCAAGGAAAAAGGCCAGCTCAATTCTTCAGTCTATACGTGGGCCTTACCAAGGACTCTGTTGAGGCTTACCTCTAGGTCAAATCTAGAGTGATCCATAGGAGATGGCCGGATTCTTCTGCTATTATTTCATTGTTGCACTGATTATACCAAAAAAGTGGACAGAAAATGGCAGAACTCAGAACATAGGTTATCCAGTAATTTTTTTGCCTAATGGTATTCTTTATCACAGGTCTTTTATGACACAGATATTTACTGAGCCCCTACTATGTGATGGGCACCTTGTGTGAATACTGCCGCAGAAACGCTTTGTCTACATACTGCTGAAAACAAATATATCCACATCTGCATTTAACTAATGTTCCAATCGGTCCTTAATGTGCTTTACAAACTTTTCACTAAAAATATTTCAGTTACTTTGGGTTACTTCTATGCCCATAGGAGAGTACAGTCCTCAACCTCTGTATCTGCAAAACCGTGAACATAATCACACCTACTTAGAAGGGCAAACAGTTGGTTAAGAGCCTGACTCTGGGACTAGGCTGCCTGACAGCTCCCGTTCTTTCTAGCCATGTCAGGTTAGGAATGTCACCTAATCCCACCCGCCACAGCTTTCTAATCCGTAAAATGGTAATACTTGCCCTCATAGAGATGTTGTGAGGATTAAATAAATTATTGAGTATTTCACTTATAATAGTGCCTGGCACCTAACAAGCACATTTCAGTGATTTTAGCAATTATTATTTTTAATTCCCTTTTTAATTATATTTATTACTTATATTTGGGTTGTGTTCATATCAGATAATATTTATGAATGCTATTATAAAACTTGATGCAAAGTATAATTTAAATATTTCCTTTACTATAGAAATTATTCTGTGTTTCACACTATTTCACACTATTCATTAAGAAGAGTACTCCACGGATACAAATAAGTGAGATGAAATCTGCTTCTGTCTGATAGCAGGTTAAAAAAAAAAAAAGAAAAAAGGAAATGGGAATATAAAGGGATTCAGCTGACAAACCAATTTTTGGGCAGTGCTAAACTACTTAAAATTGGGGGGTGGGAGGAGGAATTCTTAATAGGCAAAGGTAAAAAATTGGAAAAGTATGGGCATAAAAGGAGGCCCTGAGAAGTTAAAATTATAATTAATTAAAAAATTCAAATCATTAAATCTTTTGGCACTTCTTTTATGGATAGTTCCAAGTTTTTCTTGTGATACATACTTACAGGATGCAGGATGTTAACTCCTTTTGTTATAATATCTATATGGCACAGAAAACTTAAAAGCATGTTTTCTCTAAAGAATACTTTTAAACGGTCAGAGGGAAGTCTAAGGTTTAAAGTTTATGGTTTAAATGTTTAAAGCCTTACTCCAACCTTCACTTCCCTCTTCATAACAAAATTCTAACAACACATTTATTAAAAAAAATCACAGAATATTTTTTATTATAATGAAATTCTTTCTAGACTTTAAATCATCTGTTCACTCTTATAACAGAGAATCATTTAAATAACACCAACAAAATGGAATGAAGACAAAACAATTAATTGATATTATTATATCAATTTCTTTGATATATCATAATGATATCCAATTAGTTTTGCAGCATGGTCCACTTCCAGTGAAATTCTCAACAGACTGCTAAATGAGTCCTTCACACTGACATTTTATTCTAAGGTGTGGCAAATGTGGCTCTCTTGATTGCTTCAGAAGTCAAACAGTTAAACAAGTGCTCTGAGGAAGAGGCTGACTTCACAGGTGACCTATCCACAAAAGGATAGCATGCCTTCAGATCCTTTGGTTTTTGTAATAATCCCTTTGGAAGATTAATTATTTGATGATTGTTCCCTTAGAATTCTATTTTAAAGAGGACGAATCACTCCCTACACAGTTTGTGCCAACGTCCTTGACTTTCTCATTTCCAGTGTTTTGTTTATCAGATCATACAGTGATGGTAGTCTTATTTTATCCATATTTTTGCTGTAAACATTGAGAAATATACCGAGGACAACTAACAAACCAGACCATACGTACCTAAGAGGAGAAAGAAGAAAAAGAGTGTTAATATCATGGTAACAGTTTATTGTTAACCACAGAACTTGGTGATGAGTTCACAGTAATTCTGCAATAAAATAAAATTTTGCTACTGGAAATCTACAATAGCATTAAAACAAAAAACAGTATTTTTAGATCAGATTAGATAGAATTCCATATCACTTATGTTAAGTATATACAGAGAGATTGGATAAAATGCTAAATGTAGTTCATCTGAATTTTGAAGATAATAGCAAATTCAAGTCCACATCAACAGTCTGAAGAGTCTTAAAGCACTGAATATGTCAATCTGCCAATGGCCATCTTGGGAATCCAGTCTGGCGGTCCAACTCTTTATCCCAGTTGGGTGGAGTATAAAGAGATAAAAAGAAGCACGTCCTGAGAAAGTAGGGGAATTGGCTAGACTGCTATAATGTATACCTAGCACATGGGGAAAGAGAAATTAATTTATAGAAAATACAGTGACTGAAATTTATTTTGTGGTTATCTTTAAGTTTATACATTGATAATTGCTAGGTTTGAACCTTCTTAATTACCAAGCAGCATAAATTTAAATGATACTGATTCCAAACACGCACTAGAGAGTCAAGAAAACAGTAAATGCTTTATAATAAGTCATAAACTAAATAAACTTATATAGAATAATTCTCTACCTCAACTCCATTGTTGAGGTAGAGTTAAACTTAACTTTGAAAACTATATATATATATGGTTTTGTATGTATGTGAGTATATACCAGGGCAAGGTGCAATCCCTTATCTAAAGATGTCACTCACGTTCATTTATACTGGAAACAGGGTCACAACGGCGTTGGGACTGTGGTTATAATACGATTTCTTCAAAATAATAACATTTTGAAGCAGCAGAAGATACATCAATAAACTAGGGTTCCAGATGAAACTGATACTTTATAAGGAAATTAAGACTGCTTAAATGTGAAGCCAGGTATCTACAAGTAGAGAAACTTGTTGAATTAAAAAGTACTTACTGAAATGTGAATGGTTTAGCAAAGAACATAAATGAAAGTACAATGGTCATGGCTTTTCTTCCTGTTGTCACTGTAGGGAGAAAAAAGGTTGACTTAGAATGTACCTACCATCTTGGTAATATCTTGGAAATTATTTTCAACAAATATTTACAGAACCTACTATGTGCCAAGATCTATGTGACACACCAAGAAAACAATGGAAAACAAAAACCAAACAGAAAGTTACTGTTGCTGCTACTATGGAGTTTACAGTCTAGTAGGAGTATAGACATTAAACCATACGGTTAAAGTACAACTGTAATAAGTACTGGATAAAGGGCCATGCTAGTACACTAGGGAGGCAGGTCATCCCTGAGAGACACTTAGTCTGGCAGGAAAGATAGGCTTTCCCAAGGAAGCTATGGTTAGGGAGAGCAGGGGTTAGTCTTTAAAAGCAGTAATAAGCTAAAGCACACACTAACATTTCAATAGCGGTCATCCCTGAGTAAGACCATGAATAATCTTTACAGTCCTCTTTACACGTCTGCATTAACTTTTACCTGTCTTTCAAGTACTATAAGCAGCCTAAAATCTGCTGTCAGGCTTGAAACCCTCTTTCCTGTCCCATGCAGGTAGAGGTAGCACCTTGGCATATATCTCCGTCGTAGCCTTCTGCCACTTTGCATTATCAGTTGCTACCCTCCCTCTCGACTGTGTCTCTTAGTTCCTTGTCTTATTCATCCTATATTCCTGGACTCTGTGGCTCCTGACACTTATTATCCAAGGCATAAATAAATGAATTCCAAATGAAGAGTTTGTTTTGAAAACGCATCATCAGAGCCTGATTCTCCAAATCTATTTTTCCTTGTCTGTTGCCTTCCAGACTTTCCTACAGTCAGATCTGGTCATATGATGAGGTTTGAGCCAATGAAAAATGAGCAGAAATTCTATTTCTAGGAAAGGTATGTTCTAGGAAGATTCCATGAAAAGGTATGTTCTTCATCATCTCCCATCCCACTGGCTGAAATGAAGATGAAGATGGCAGAGAAGACAGAAGGAACCTGGTTTCCTAATGAGCGTGGAGTCACCACATGAGCTCAGCAGGCAGTATAGCATGTGGGTTAAGAGCACGCATTGGGAGACAGACTGCCTCACTTGGAATCCTAATTCTGCAACTGACTAGCTGGTTGACTACTGGACAGGTCACTTCACCTCCCTGTGCCTCAGTTTACCCTTTGGAAAATGGAACAATAACAGTACCTACTTCATTATGGGATTATTGTGAGATCAACATGAATAATGTATGTAAAATGGCTCCTGGTACATAATAAGGGTTATATGCATGCTGGCTATTATTATTACGGCTAAATTTCTTTTACACAACACAGAAATAAACCTGTCTGCACCTAACAGGAACTGCATCTCACATTTTTTTATACCAATCACAGGGTTTAATCAATACATATCAATTATTATCAAATATTTTTTGAATAATTATTATTTTATAAGCAAAATTGGAACTTGAGCTTAGTATATGAATATGCAATCTTTCTTGGTAGCATGAGATGACTTGACAGATTATGGATAGGCCCTGATCTATAATTACATGCCCTCTGTTTACCATTAGCTATGTAAACTTTATTTATTTTTTTTAAAGGTTTTTTACACTTTTTTTTTAAAGTTTTTTTTTATTTATTTATTTTTATTTATTTATGATAGTCACAGAGAGAGAGAGAGAGAGAGAGAGAGAGAGAGGCAGAGACACAGGCAGAGGGAGAAGCAGGCTCCATGCACCGGGAGCCTGATGTGGGATTCGATCCCGGGTCTCCAGGATCGCGCCCTGGGCCAAAGGCAGGCGCCAAACCGCTGCGCCACCCAGGGATCCCAGCTATGTAAACTTTAAAAAGAGGAGTCATAAATAAATAAACAGAAAAGGGAGTCATATGTGAACAAATACAGAGACCCATTAGAAATCAAGTATATTTTTATATAAAGAGAAGTATTTATTCTTTTGCTTAATTTACTCTGTAGTAAATAAGTATCCCTCTAAAACTAAAAAATATTAAAATCAGGTAAATGACTAATGCATTTATGCATTATGATGTAAATCCTATGTATCTCTGATAGACAAGTCCAAACCAGTCTCTTCACGAGAGAGAAACGAAGCCCAGAGAAGAGGACAGAATTACTCTCCAGATCACAGGTCATTAAACATCAGAGCTGGGCCTGGGTCTCCTTCTCTCACATCCCAATCCAGCACACTTCATGGCAGGCCACCCTGCTTCCAATCCTGGGTTTCACTCAGGTCTCTCTCCATATGGGAGACGCTGAGAGTATTTGTTTATCTGGACCATTCACTTGGAAAATGACACAAGGTTAGCACACACAGTCATCTATCCTCCTCACTGGGCCTCACTTGTAACCCCTCATCTGTTCTCCTGATTCCTCCAAAGCAAACAAATACAACTACCGCTCCTCTAAAGTGCCAAGCAAAGTTCCTGCATAAAGCAGGTACATGATAATTATTAGGGACAAGAAAGACTAATCTGTTTAATGCTCTAGAAAGTGTACAAATGAAAGGTCCAAAAAGCTTTGTTTAAAATATACCTACCATACTTTAAGTGCATCAAAATGGGGGTTTTTCAGTTATAAATTAAAAGTGCATATAAAAGCAGGATTTTCTTCTCCGAGGGTACTTTTTAATAAAAAGTCCTTTTAATGTATTTAAAAGTTAATATTTAGATAAATGTATATATTTTATTTTTAAAATTAAACCCTTCAAATAAAAAATTATGAGCAAACATCATTTTCTTTAGAATTTTAAAGAAATATAGGCCAAAAAAGATAAATGGATAAAGTCTGACAGTTTCCTTAGTGCAGAGTCGATATTGCCCATATCTTTTGAAAAGGAGCATCAGAGAAAATTTAAATGCTTATTTAATAATCTAAGCAGGTATATCATTCCTACCTGTTACAGCAAGAAGTGCACCGAAAATTTTAATCAAAGCCAGAACAAAGGAGATTCCAAAATACCCAGTGAGGGAAAAAAGGAAAGCATAACCATAGGTCTGAATTGGATTCTGCAACATATAAAAACAGACTGTTAGGAAAATGCAAAACAAACCCTGAGGTATTACAAATGAAATAAAACTACAGATTTTAATCAACTTCCTGAGCAATAATAAGCCATTCAACAATGCAGTCAAGCAAAGATTCTTATTTAGTTCTGATTTAATGGAAAAACAATGATGAAATTAAAAATCCCCAACTTTTACATTATGAATCGCTTAAAAATTAACTTATAGGGTAGAGCAAGGATAAAATAAATTTAAATATAAATAATTTCATTTCTGAAATAATTTCTGATCTGCATACATTAAAGGAGTTATCAAATTACATAAATAGAATCTTTTTGAAGAAGAAATATAAAGAAATACAGAGGGGACTATTTAATGGAAGATGTTTATTTTAAAAAATGTGATTAGTGTTTACCTTTGAACAAAATGTTACTGCAGGGCCTAATCCACTAGTGCATGTCAATCCCAATAAAATGTACACAAAACCAATTGAATATGAATACAAAACCTACGGTAGATAAAAACAAAGTGGAAAAAAATGCTATCAAACCAAAGGCAGAAAATGAAGAATTTTCAATATATGACTCAATTAATCTATTCAATTAAATCTGAAGAGCAAGTCATTTTTTAAGTTAGATCACAGTGTCAATATGGCCTAGCTTTCTGGAGATGATGATTAGATCCTGTTTGTAAGTTTACAACTTATTTTATGCACATCATAATACAGTAGTACTGATCCTTTCACATATATAGTTACATAATACTCATTTTTTTGCCGGGCTTGATTACTGAACTTGAACCACATTTGAATTTTGGAGTTCCAAAAATATACATAAAACTCTAAAGCTACTTATTAAACATCATGAAGTCCAAACATTAAGTTTGTAAAGATACTAACAGATAATGAAAATAAGCAGGATATAGCATATCTATTGCTTGATTTCCCAGTTTTCCTACTAATCTTTCTATCCCAGTTCCTTATACTCCTCATAAAGCACAATAAGCAGGGGCACTGTCATCACACTTGCACACTTGTGAAGTGGTGGGTACTGTGCTACAAATGCGTGAATTATCCCACTTAACTTCTCACAACCAGACTTTGAGTCAGACACTCTTAATGATCACTCCTCAATCTGCAGATAAACTAAAAATCAGAGATAGTAAGTCACTTTCCCCCAATAAGAGAGCTCATAATGCTAGGATATAAATGATGTGATCTTAGCCCAGAGTCTCAGCTCTTAACCACTGTATTATAGTAACTTTCTAGCTACTTCCACTGCCTTAATTCTCTTATCTTTACCTTATCTAGGAAGAATGCTGATAATGATCAAGAAAACTTCTGACCAAGATTGAAGACTTCTTAAATATGCCCACTGTGGTGACAAAGTAACTGGAAAGACCATTCCTATACACCCTTACTCTGGTATGCTGCCTAGCAAGGGGTTGGCTATAAAATTAACGTAAACACACACACGATAACTTTCCTATATACAAATACCAACCAGGAAGAAGATATAATGAAAGAAAGGGCATTATCTCCAGTAAACAACAGCAAAAAGATGAAACCCCTAACAATTAAGTTCAGTAAGAAATATGCTGGATTTATATGAAAAAAATTTTTTTAAATCTAAGGGACACTTTAAAGCCTCTTGAATAAAAGAAAAGTCATACCTTATTCTTGGACTGAAAGACTAGTGTATAGGTGCCATTCTCCCTAAATTAACTTATAATTCAAATCCATACCAAGAACAGTAACAAAAGGATTTTCTAGTTTATTTGGGGATAAGAACACCCAAGAATAACTACTGGTAGTAATATTCTGAAAAACAAAAGGAATAATCCTAGTCCTGACAGATGGTAAATGTATGATAAAACTGCACTCATCATATGGTTCTGGTGCAGAAATAAATTCAAAAGAATACAATTCTGAATCCTACATTAGAATATGATACGATAAAGAAGGCGTTTAAGCTGGAAAAGTGGATTTTTAATAAAATATTAGGACAAGTGGATAGACACATGGAAGAAAAATTTTTTAAAGCTCTGGATGGATCAAAGATTTAATTAGGGGTGCCTGGGTGGCTCAGTCAGTTAAGTGTCCGACTCCTGATTTTGGCTCAGGTCATGATCAGGGTTGTGGGATCGAGCCCCATGTTGGGCTCTGAGCTGGGCACAGAGCCTGCTTAAGATTCTCTCTCTCTCTCTCTCTCAAAAAAAAAAAAAAAAAAAAAAAAAGAAAACAAAAAAAAATTAAAAAGGAAATCATAAAATGAATAAACAACATGGGTAAAATTCTTACACCTTCAGAATTGGGAAAGTCCTTATCAATAATAAGAAGTAGCCAGAAGCCATGAAGGAAAAGATAAAAGATAAACTACAATAAAATTACAAACTTCTAAATGAAAAATAATACCAAATACAAAGAGAGGAGAAAAGTGATGTAACAAAGGATTTCTTTTAATACGTAAAAAACTATAAATAAGAAAAAAAAATTATCAAATGCTATACCATAAGCTCTTAGCAGGGATAGTAGTATATTTACTTTTGGTTTCTCATAATGTTTGAATGTATTACTTTTATGAAAATGATGACAAACTAGTTTAAAAATGCCATGCAAGTCTTCACTACCATAACTATTTCATAAAATTAAGCACAGCACCACTCTGGAGTCTGTCTGCTACGAGGAAAAAGCACAGGAGTACTTACCATTTCTGAATTAGAAGCATTATGCAGTTTCATAGCTTTCTCTTGGACATTTCCAATGACAGCATCTGCACATAGTGCCAGGGAAATAAGAATCACACCTTCAAGAAAGCATAAGAGAAACATAACCTCCTTATTTAAACATGTGAATGATAATCAAGATTCACCAGAGATTTAATTGGGCTGAAAAACGAAAAGCAGATCTTAAATCACACTGTCTCAGAAGTTAACGGTTTTTATTCACAACCAGCTCTAATCGGCACATATATGATGTTAAAAAAAAAAAAACAAAACAAGTAGCTGATGCTAATGAAGTATGTTAACCCTGTCACACTGTTTCACTATTATGTCAAATAATAGTTTTGTCTTTAAGTTAGATGAAATGTTTCAAAGGAATACTGTATTAAAAAATACAGAAGAAACTCTTAGGAACTCTATCAGGATTGAGGACCGATGAAAATCATTTTTTAATTACCTACGTTATTAAGACACATAAACATGCATGCAGTTGCCAGTCTTTTGAGTAAGGGTCCTAACAAAAATTCTGCACTTTCTCTTCTGTATAAACCATACTCATAATACACATTGCTAATGCTTCCCTGGTTGTTTTTGTTTACAAGCACATGGGAAACACAAGAACTTCTCAAACAGTTGGGGAGCAGAATCCTTTCACACTTGTAGGATATCCCGCTCTTTTTACAGTTGTTTCTTCCATACTTAATAGTGATTTTATTGACTAGTCAACCGAATTGTTTCAATTAACAGAAACAATCCTCTTCTTAAATTGTTTTTGAACAATTTAAGTAATACTGTTACTTAATAACAATAGGTTATAATAACAGGTACAATTGGCAAAAAACAAATCTGGAAATTAACACTCATGCAAATGTCTATGTCAACCTGAGAGCAAGCTGTTAACTCCAAGTGTTTGAGGCACTGCTCACCACCATGGTGCTTTACAGAAAACATAAAAGGCAGCCTGAGTTACTTCTGGGAGTCTGATCAAATTTAAGGAAGCTTCCCCTTTGCATTTTTCTTAAACAATGTATAAGCAATCACAAGGAACAGAAAAATACATGTGTGTGTGCACTTAATTGAGAACTTTCAAGTCTTCATACTCTTCAATTTGCCTTTTGATCGTCTAACCTTGTAATTAGTACCCAATCGTACATTTTTATCCACTGAATGCTCTTTTACTTATTTCAAATGCCAAATCTGTCCAATTCTGAATGCTCTTTTACTTATTTCAAATGCCAAATCTGTCCTTGAAACAAAAAGACAAGCTGTTGAATATAGTATCCTAGCTCCTAACAGGCTACTCCAAAAATGTTCTGAACAATGACAATGGTGTGAAAATACCTGAATTGCACCCTGAGGGGAATATTTAAAGGCAGACATTTATCTGAATAAGTAAATTCTAATATATTCACTTCATACATTCTAAGTTTTATTTATGTCTATTGTCTATTATATCTGTGTCTAACATGACTATTAACTATCTTAATAGTCAATCTAATCTCCTTTAGATAATATATTGCATTACATCAGGAACTGTGATAAGTGCTCATCAATTATTCTTAATGATGAAGTATTAGGTTCTCATTCTCTTACCAAACATCTCCATGGGAGTCAGAATGTGCTAGCACTACAGCACCATGAGAAGTTGCAGGACCAGTGACACCACCTCATCCCATTATTATCATCACCCTTGCCCCTGTACGTGCATGCATGAGCTTTCATATCCATTAGCCCATGACCTCAGTCAACTGTCCTCCCACTGCCCTTGTGTGAGGCAAGCTGTCATCATTATCTCTGTTTTAAAGGGGAAGCATTACCGTGTCTGGCAATTTACCCATGGTTATAATTTTAAGTGATCTGAACAGAATTTGAAGCCAGGTCTCTGACTGCAAGTTCTGTGCCTTCTCTAGAACTGCTTTTTCAAAAGTGAAAGAGTCAATTGCCTCAGTCTTCATATATAATCTTCCTTTTAGGGTTGCTGACTTGAAGTAGTGCTGAAAAAATCTAAACCATGTCAGACACATCTGTAACTATAACCTGCTTTCTCAGAGAAAGACTCATTGAAGTAATGATCACTTGTACTGTGAACCATCAAAGTTGAAAGAGATGGAATAAGTTCCAAATCTTCTGGTTAAAGGGTTGCTGCAAAAGGCTCTACTGTACATTTAATCCATTAACTTAGGCTGGTTAACAAGGTAAGTAAAGAAAGCAAACTAATAGCCAGTAAAAATTTTGAGTCTTTGTTATGTAATATTTTTTCTCATGAATAATTAAAAATGTTTCCCCTGTTTCTCAGAGTTCCTCTGAATACCTCTTTTTATTTTCTTTTTTTTTCTTTTTTTTCCCCAGCTGAGGATTTACTGGCATAAATGTAACCATATAATAAATTTATGAAAAACAGTCACGGTGTGCCCTCCCCAGCCCAGGCCCCCAAGACTCCCTTCTGAGGGAGGGAAGAGACAATGGGGAAATCCCAAAACTGCCTAAGAACATCACCGCCCCTGGAGCCATTCAGGACTGGCCCAGCAGGGGTGGGAGAAACCAGGTGCCACCTCAGTGCATCTGGTAGTGAGTAGAGCAGGAAAACTCACACAGCTGGCCCGTGAAATCCAGGTCGATGGTGAAGTCTAGGTTGTGATCATTCTTGGCACTGAGCCAAACATCAGTGATGCCAAAGATCTTTTTGCCTGTGTTCACTGTTAGGTAGTCCCCCATGTAGAACACTGTCTGCTTCTAGTGTATGCACAGGGACTTAGGGCTGGTGGAGGAGCCCATCCTTTTGTAGCAGTGAGTGAACTTGGATGCTGAAGCAGGCCACAGGGTGTTCCACTTCACTTGCAGGCAGAAGGGAGAAGTGAAGGTCAGGTGTCCCACCTTGACAGTCTAGATGTCCACCTTTTTTATAAGGCAGGTGTCAGTGACCAGCTGCTTGGGATCCACCAGGGGCTTCTTGATGGCCACATCTCTGACACAAGACACGTTAAAGTCATGTACTTTCTCCCACCAGTGGATCTTGTTGTCTTCGTACTGCTGGTCTTTAATGGCTATCACGTACAGTGAGGCTCAGTCTGGAAAGATTAGGCCACCAGGTGCCAGTCACTTGTTTGGGGTATAGAGCACCACATTGAGCACTGACCTGTAGAAGAGGCAGTAGCCCATCCAGTTACTGATAATCATGTCCACCTTCTCCCCCAGAAGCTCTACTTCCTCTGCCTTCCCCTTGATGACAGTCACCACATCCTCAGCATTGGGCTTCTCGCTGTTTTCTGCCTGGCCACAGGAACTCTCCATGATGCAGTCTGCAGCCTTGGGTGACATCATCTTCACCTGTACCTTTTCCTCCTCCTGCCACAAAGAGTCCCCCCTCCCCAAACATCTAGGTATTTTATTTTTATTTTTTAAAGATTTTATTTATTCATGAAAGACAGACAGACAGACACACACACACACACACACACACACAGAGAGAGAGAGAGAGAGAGAGAGAGAGAGAGAGAGGAACACAGGCAGAGGGAGAAGCAGGCTCCATGCAGGGACCCTGACGTGGGACTCGATCCCGGGTCTCCAGGATCACACCCTGGGCTGAAGTACAGCTAAACCGCTAAGCCACCTGGGCTGCCCACATCTAGGTATTTTAAATACCGTTTCTGTCAGTCTAGGAGATAGGATGATAATAAGCTTATGAATAAAACTCAATAGTATAAGAATGACAATACTGTATATAGAATAATTTCTCTTCAAGGTATTTAGAATAAAAACAATATTCGAACACAATTATTCTTCTTTAGATCTAAAAGTACTATAATACCTATTCTGCCTGTCAAAGTTCTAAATTTTATTTATAAAACTCCACCTGGCACACTGTGGGCTAACTTCACAGTGGAAAGTTTAAGCACTTTATGATTCTAACTATATTTAGAGTACACAGTTCAATATTAACATACAGCATAACTTTCCTCTTTAGCTAACACAATGACAAACATACGATTTCAGTTTTTTTAAAAAAATAAAAAATTACTTTGATTCTCTTATAATGCATATGCATACTCCCAACTCAGCCCATGAAAAACTGCTTTATCACGTACTCGATCACAGATGATTTTGACTGGCCGAACAGCCTCTTGTCAGGTCAAAATACAAGAGCACTAAAAACAACTCTTACATTTCCATAACTGTAATATTTTTTCTATGTCTTATATGGAAAGTCTGAAAGCTTTATGTCAGATATGAAATCACAGATGTCATATCATCATTTGAAATCCCTATGAAATTGTTGCACCAAAATGTCTGCAAAATCCAGTAGTATGAATAATTTCCTTACCTGTCAGGTTGAAATTTGGTGCAATCGTGCTGTCAGCCAGGGTGAACCATATCAGGCCAAGACTCATACATACTGCAGCAGACACGTCTGCAATATTATAACGTTTCCCTGTGTAAAATAAATGTAAGCCAACCTCATTACACAAATGCCCACTTGGCACAATTTTAGATCTGTGTGTAACCAAGTAGAGCAGGGTGTGCTTTTTATATCCAAAGTCAAAAATATATGAAGAACACACAGATCAATGCCTGAAGTAGTCATAGAAGGGCTTTTGAGAATTAAATGACCAATGAGCACCAACATGTCCTTGTAAGTCAGATATAAAGTCCTACTTTATATATTAGGGTAGTGAGTAAATATGAACATTTAAAGTTTGTGGACACGAGTGCTTCCTTTACCTCACATATAATAGAAAGTATGAATTTTCTTATAGCTTATATATTTTCAAAGTAACCAGAGCAATTATTCAGACTATATGACTGTTGAAGTTTGCAACTACGATAACTGGATAACTCCTAGATTGGTGAGAATTAACCTGTTGGAGTATATCCACATTTCAATAATAAAATCATGTAGTGTGACTTTTTCATAAGGATCGCTAAGGAAATATACATGCATGTGGTTTCTAATAGGGATTGATCTCTACTTTTTCCTGCATGAACAGTGACCCTGAAATTGTATGTGAAGCAGCTGACATACATACTTTCATTGCAAAGGGCTTTTGTGAGAAGATGCTGAATGTCAAAAATGAAGTTAGGCGATATAAGAACTTCAGTGATACAGGGACATTTCATTATCAAAACACAACTACAACAAAAGCTTGTTCCATTTCCTATTACTGCTTCCTCTTTCACTCCTAACTTCACATAGCTTATAACTTAGTTGGGGCTCTAGAAAGCCAACAAGCCAGAAGAGTTGGTAGGAAAAAAAAAAAGGCAGTTCTGCTCAGGTCAAGTTTTATTTCATTGCAAGAATTGTTCAGTTGTTTAATGGAGGCAGAGGGAGGAGTCCTCAGGAGCAGAAGAATGAAAGAATTGAAAAAGGGAGATTTCCAGGTATTTCTGAGCTATGCCTTCAATATGCGGTATTTCTGGAAATGTGGTAGATTCCAGATTAAAAGAAAAAAAACAACAAAATACTCTTTTATTTTTCTCAAGTATGAATCACTGATTTCGAAAGTAGGGTATATTTTAGAATACCTTATTTTTATAAGATGTCACTCAGAATTGTTCCTAAGACCAAGAATGTTCAATGAAATTGGAGTTTAATGTTTTTCCTAATGCTAGATGCCAAAACATATCCTACTAGTTTCAAACAGTATGAAAATATATCATTACTATACCTTGAATAAAAACTCCTCCTAGCATAACAGGAATCAATTTGCAGCACTTGAAGATGACTTGGGTAGGATAATTCAGGTAGCCCAAGGAAGTATTTGATAACCCCATAGTACCCACAGTTAGAAAAGCTATTATCATGTAGGTTTTTCCTGGTATTCTGTAAAAGACAATTTTTAAAACCTTCATTTCGGGACCCAATTCATACTATTGTAAGATAATGTGTTTACAATGTGCAAATGTCTAGTTTCTGTTGAATATTTCTAGCAATATTGGTGAAGAAGCACTATTTTAGAAGTTATCACACTTGTATAAAAGAATGTTGGTAAAAACAACAATTTACCCTTATATTTAATTAATCACAAATGAGAACTGTCAACTGTGTGGAAAAATGGTGTACCAGAGTTAAAGATTCTTACTGATAGAAAATGTTGGTAAGAGTTTTTTTAATAGCTGCTCTATCTATATATACAAAAACTATCTCTACTAAATTTAGAAAAAAAAGAGTTGAGTTTTAAACAATATTGACCTCCATTGTGGCAAAAGGCACCTTAACTAATTTTCAACTTCTAAAGTGTTGTTCTGTTTCCTAATGTTCCCATCTAGCATTAGGAAAAATATACTCAGCGCTTCTGCTAAAATAACCTGAGCAGATTATCTCCAGAAAAAGAACACAGTAGCTTAAAACTCTAAATATGCTTTTTATTACTGCATTGTTTTAAGATTCAACTCTAACCCTATATTCCATGAGATGTTACAATAATCAACTTCAAGATGAAGAATCTGATTCTCTCCTCATGACCCCAAATCGCTACTTTGGGTCCTACTGGAATTTCCTAAAGGGGTTTTTAATTTGGCATCTTCAGAATTTTGAGCTATTATTGCAAGCATATGCTCGCTTTGACTAGGTATTTAATGGCCTAAAATACTCTTGTACACTGGTGTGACTAACACATGAAGCACTACTCACATAATCAGATTATGCTGCATACTTAGAAGTAGCTTCCATTTAGGGATCTGTGTTCCTGTTTAAATCAAGACCACAAAATTCTTCCATATTTTTTATTTGGCTAGATATAAGGCAAAATAATTTACTGGAAAATTCAATTAAAATGTATCTTTTCCACTTATATTTCAATTTCGAGGCCGTTCCTACTCAACTGCTAATACAGTAGTCAACATTTAAAGTCCATGTGGAAATAATGTGGCATGCACATATGCACCAATGGACATAAACACGGATTTACATGCTGTCTGTGGGGATTAACCCTCAGTGAGGTATCATCAGGGGAGGACAGCACTACTCCTCCAAGTAATGACAGAAGTCATGGTTGGTCAAATTCCCTCGGAGATAAACTGTGGCCAGAAAAAAAAAAACAAAAACAAAACAAAACAAAAAAAAACTGAAATCAGAAACAAATCATAAGGAATGGTGATGATGGAGATAGCACAACACAGGTTCGAAAGAAAACCAGCCTAAAATTCAGGAGACCTCTATTCAGAGGGTCACAACTCTGAGAGAGACTTACTGTACAGTCTCATGAAAACCCCAGCTCTCCTCGAGGTGTGTTTGCTCAATGGTGAGACCAGGAGGTTAGATTCATCATCTCGCCGTTCTATTTAACATTCCAATTTCTTACTTCTTTAGGCAGAGGGTGTGTGTATGTGTGTGTCATTGTGACTTTCAATAGCTCCTTTGAAACCAATTTGACATATCTCCTTTTTGAAACTTCACCCAAAGCTACAATACAGTTTCAATGTAACTTTGGTAAAAAATAGCAAGTAGTGTATTTAGGGTGGTAGGGCTTACAATGTGCTCCCTGCACATTACCACATTTGATCCTCAAATGTCAGAGAATTTAAGAAACTCCCCTGAAGTCTTAGGAGAATTAATTAGAAGCTGTGCCAAGACTCAAACACATGTTTTCTGACTCCAAATCCTTTATTCTTTCATGTATGTAGGTATTCATATAAACATAGGAAAAAAGAAAGAAAAAAAAAAAAAACTAAGCAAAGAGCTGTCTAAAGGTCTAAAGAGCAGTGCCACTTAAATTCAGAAATATGTGATTGAGCATATTTTCTCACTGTAACATACCTTTAATAGCTTTTTCTAAAAATGTTTTTAATGTGCCTTGGAAATGAAAAGGTTTCAGTTCATAATTATATTTATTATACATCTGAAAATTCTTCTCCTATACTCCTTCATTTCTGTTTAAATCAAACACAAATTATTTTAACTTTAAAACTGTTATGGGGGATCCCTGGGTGGCGCAGCGATTTGGCGCCTGCCTTTGGCCCAGGGCGCGATCCTGGAGACCCGGGATCGAATCCCACATCAGGCTCCCGGTGCATGGAGCCTGCTTCTCCCTCTGCCTATGTCTCTGCCTCTCTCTCTCTCTGTGACTATCATAAATAAATAAATAAAAATGTTTAAAAAAAAATAAAACTGTTATGGTCATTTGGTTTAAGGGTTGGGATAAACATGGCTGGAGGCCCACTCCCTATTCATTAGCGTAGATGAGTGAGAGGTGTTACCTTTTTTTTTTTTTTTTAAAGTAGGCTCCATGCCCAATGTAGATCACAATACTCAGGACCCTGAGATCAAGTTCTGACCCGAGATCCAGAGTCGGATGCTTACCTGACTCAGCCACCCCTAGAAGTGTATCTTTTTCGAAGGGGGTGTATCTTTGTGTCACTTTCCATTTTATAAAGATAGCATTAGATTCTTTTCCTTTGGAAACAGAGGTCCAGCAGTTTGTAACTGGTAATGAATCATCATGCTTTCCTATACATTAGTCTTGACAGATATATTTAATTCTTTCTATTTTATCACCTATATGGCTGAGTACTGCAGTTTCAGAACATGAAAATAATACAGATGCTATCCTCAGATTCAAATATTTTTTACTATCACTGCTATAATAATTTATTGGCAATAAAGAGAGGTTGAGGGGTAAAATTAGAAGTATGAAGGAATACTTAAACACTTAAAATTTTATAGTTACTTTCAGACAAATCTCAAAAACATTTTTATAAGAAAAAACAGTAGCTGTGAATATATATTTAATTTTATTTTTTTTTTTTGGAAAGACCTCTATCAATGAAAACAGGATATTAGTGTTATAGCTCCTTGATGCATTTAAACTGCATAGTGTATACATGAAATATTCACATCTTAGAGTCTGATATGACAGGATAACCACACTTACATTACCAAGAAGTTACATTCAATTTCCTAACCTCCTCTTGTTTATAATCGGGTTTGCATTGCATATTGTTCTATAGATCTTTAAAAGTATTTTGAGATCTTTCTCAAATCTAGATAGTCAAGTCAAATGTCAGACTCCTTTGGTTCTGATGAAAAGGCATGCTATGAAATTTCTGATGTCTAAACATGGCAGTCTCAGTGACTGGACATCCTAAGGCAATGTTAAATGGAATATATCCCATGAAACAAAACATTAGCTGTACATTTAAAAAACCACTATAAAAGTGGCACTGATTGTTCATTTCACCACTTTGATCTTTTAGTAGCACTGTCAATCTTTCAGTAATCACACGCAGTTCAGTTAAATTTACAAGAACACATATGTAAATCTGAGTACTTTCTCCTGTTTCAAGAAGATACATTTACTGTAAGTTGAACCTAAACGACATTTTTCTAGTAACATTACATTACAAGACTACTTTTTTCAGTGTACAATGGAAATATACTTAATACTTTTTAATAAGTTGGTTATACTGATAAAAACCTTGGGGCATTAGATATGTTTTATTAATTGCAAATGTATATATTTCATGTATAATACACTCCCTATTTCCAAGGAGCAAAATAAAAAATTTATTGCTAACGAACTTAACACTCAAAAAAAAAAAATAAAAACCACATACCTTCTCCTTTTGTCCTGAATAAGCTGAAGTTCTATTAGGCCAAATATGGAGTAAAATGCAAACTGTACTAAAGTAAGGTACCAGCCATAAGACTTAAAACCCTCCATTGAAAATATTAATTCCTGTCAAAAGATACATGAGTACTGTTAAGCTCCGGGGCAGACCAATTTTCTCACAATAAATTCATATAAACACAACATTTTAAAAGAACTCAAGCCTTACCCCCAACAACAAAACATAATACATAAAATAAACACTAAAATCACAAGGCTTCTCAGAGGTAAAATTAGAGAAGTTCAGGAGGCCATTCCAAAGACCTGATACTAGATATACAGGTGAGAAAGTAAAGGGAGGGAGGGATAACTATAAAGCAGTTATCCCAGGCTTTTCTTTTTTTTTTTAACATGCCAAAATTAACAATTGCCCCAACAATGTGAAAGGTAGCTGGTTCAAGGACTCATTTACTGTATAACAAATATATTTCATTAAGAGTCTATTATCTCCGGCTTGTTTTTCTATAGGAATTTAATCAGTTGAAACCAATTATATTATTTTTGGGGAATATCTGTGCCACACATTATGCAAAATTTCTCCTTGTAAAGGAAATGGTTACTTTGTCAATACATAATGTTCTATCATGAAGCAACATTCCATTAACTGTTAATAAGCCACTAAGAAGACTTGTGTTAAATCACTCCCCCCACCACAGACTCTGAACTAGATTTTGTATATTTATGATAGTGTAATTCCCTGAATTTAGATTTCATATGCAATAAATCTGAAAGATATTTAGGATTTTTCTGGCATACAAACTATAAAATATGAAAATAGCTTTATTACATATGGTAGCATTCAGATAGATTTCACTATACTGTATATATATATATATATATGCAGCTAACAAAACCCCATTTTCTTTATTTTAACATGCTATTATATGTAAGAGTTAGTAGCAATGTCCGTTTTCACAAAGTGAAAGTAATATTTATTGAATTTTAAAAGCTTTGCATATCTTACAAGTTAAAAATCTCTGATCCTTAAATGGAAAAAGATTAATAAAATTTGTAGGGTAAATTTCTAATTCATTTTCCTTCACAATGGTTAACTGTACCCAAATTATTTGGTAATAATGGTATTCTGAAGAATAAAAAAATTTCTCAACAAGAACCTGAAATCTGTATTTAACAAAATTTACTATTTTTCATCGTTCTTCATTGTGATATCTGACTGTTTGTATCATCATCTAGTGGGGAAATTAGTTACTATAAATATTAAGATTTTTAATTCATGTTTTAGTTTTATACTAATACTCCTCATAGCATTTTTACAAACTAAGAAATAGTCAATTCCACCATTTTCTTCACTTACACTTCCTTTTATATTTCATCTCTATAGGATAATGGGAAAGAGTACAATAATTTTTAAGATCATTCTGATTAATCCTAAACAATACCAGAAATATTAACTGTGTTTCAACAAAACACATCCCTTTCTATTTCTTGAATTATAATGGATTTTCTCACATTAGAAAGCTGCATAAAAAAGCAGAGTTGTTAATGGCTGAAATACTAATGAACTGACCATTAGGAATAGTAGTCCCTATTCAAACAGTGTTCATATTAGCATGGCTCCTCACCCATCCAGCCATGTCTTTGAAGGCCAGAAATTTGCTGCTTGTCAAATGTATATAACTATCCCATAACATAGTACAAACTGGAGACAAATTGTGGAAATGTTAGAAATGTTTTGCACAGGTGAAGAGGTGTTTTGCACAGAAAAATAAGGTTCTGACAAAATTAGATGTGAAGAGGAAGCCAAAAAAGAATGAGAACACAACAGGTGCTTTATAAAAAGAAAAATTTAGATAGTATAGGATTAAAGACATCTCCTGGAAAACTATAAAGCGTCCTGATATACTTCTTCAAAAAGGACCATTTATTACTGTGCTCCAAGGATCAACAATGGACTAGATTATTCAATTTATTCGAGAATTATGTTCTAAAATACCAGGGAAGACTTGAATCACTGTCTTTTAGAAACATATGGGTGCAATCATTACCTATGTTGTTTAACATGTTTCAATTTTTTCATAATTTTAATTTTTTAAGATTGTCTCTGTTTGCTGCTCCCCATCTGAAATATTTAACTATGAAATTTTGATCTCTGCTAAAAGTAGCAGACTTTTAAGAACTATTTTCTATAGTAAAAAACTAAAAAAAAATGTGAATAAAGTGGCATCCTGTAAGGAAAAATATCTTGGACAAAACTATTAGTAATGCCCATATTGACCTCAATTGTTACAAATAATTAGCATCTTGTAAATAACTTTTTTACCTGTAAATATCCATAAATTAGGTAAAATACAAAAACTCCAGCAACACATATGAAAAACTGAGTAAGTTTGTTAAATCTGCTGAGATTTATGCCAAGCACTACAATGTCATCTATTGACTTGATGTGTGGTGACATTGTCTGTGTTTTGGGAGGGACAGTGATAGAAATGTATTTCCTGGAGTTGTTGAACTTGAGATCCATTGTTCTTGTTTTGCTGCATTCAGTGCTTCTAAAATTATCTTTGTTGGTTTCCTCTCCTTTGTTCAGTGTTTCTTGTGCTTGCTGAGGCAAGTCCTAAAGAAGGAAACAAGCAATTAAAGCAAAACATTTGGATAAGATACTATGCTCCAAATATTTCATACCACAGTTTAAAATTATACAGATAAATGTCATCCTCTCTGGATGTTAATATATTAATTCCTATATTCAAGCTTCTAAGCAATCAAAACCAAGGTCTATTCTCCAATTTATCTTCACCTGATAAAGATCAATACATCACTAAATATATGCCATTCTCATTTCCACAGCAAAAATCAAAAGCTAACTTGGTGTTGTTTTTTTTTTTTTTTACTTAGTGTTTATTTCATCATAGTATCTTTTTATTATGGTTTTATATGTATTAAGCATATAATTTCTAAAGTCCATGAAGTTTGAGTAACATCTTTAACATTAAAGTCAATCTTTGATTGCAGAAAAGAGCTGATACTCCATTAAATATTAAGCCAATTCGAAAATGCATTTGCTAATGATGTTTTAAAATAAACAAGTATAAGTTACTTAAAAAAACTAGATTTATCCGAGATAATAGAAAGGATAATATGCTTTAGCAACAGCATTTCTTAGGTTCAAAAAAAAGTTTTCTTTGGAGAAAATCATTAATTTTTATTTATTTATTAAAGATTGTATTTATTTATTCATGAGACACACAGAGAGAGACAGAGGCAGAGACACAGGCAGAGGGAGAAGCAGGATCCATGAAGGGAGCCCGATGAGGGTCTCCCGATGAGGGTTTCCAGGATCACACCCTGGGCTGAAGGCGGCGCTAAACCGCTGAGCCACCCAGGCTGCCCTCATTTTAATTTAAAAAATCTTTGGGGAGTTGTTGTTCAATGAATATCCAATTACAGTTAAACAAGATGAGTAAATTCCAGAGACCTGCTATGACACAGTGCCCACAGTTAACACAGTGGTGTGCACTTAAAAATTTGTTAAGAGGTACGTACCATGGTAAACATTCTTAAACACAAACACACACACACACAAATCGGGAAACATGGAAGTTTCTGGAGGTGACAAATGTGCATTACTTTGATCATTATGGTGATGGTATCACAGGTGCATGTCCAGACTCAATTAAATTTGTGTATGTTATACATGTACAGTTTTTTTTGTATAAAATTATACCTCTATATAGCTGTTTTATTATTTTTTTTAAAATTTTTTTAAATTTATTTATGATAGTCACAGAGAGAGAGAGAGAGAGAGAGAGAGAGAGGCAGAGACACAGGCAGAGGCAGAAGCAGGCTCCATGCACCGGGAGCCCGATGTGGGATTCGATCCCGGGTTGCCAGAATCGCGCCCTGGGCCAAAGGCAGGCGCCAAACCGCTGCGCCACCCAGGGATCCCTATATAGCTGTTTTATTAAAAAGAAATAAAGAAGCCTCTGGGATTAGAAAAAGTTGGAAAACATTTTCTGTTAAGACTGTGAAAAAAAAATCACGAGGGCTCCATATATGATTGTCAGTTTCTCTTCAGATTTATATAAACCAAAGAATGAGTTCCATGTAAAAGTTGAGGAGAGAGCGAAAAATTATGACAATTAAAGAACAAACTTATGATGAAAAAATTATCTTCCTAGAAAAGACTGTTACAATCCCAATGGGAACTAAAATTTATAGTAGTTGAGGAAAGAGGATAGATAAGGATATTTTTGACAGATTTGGAAATCTTTTTAAAAGAAACTGTCATGAGGGCTTAAAATGGCAAGAATTAGTCACTTCTTCATGATCACTTCTCCTTTGCTGGTTAGAGATTAAGGAGGCCATCTTCAGTAATTTAAATTCGGACCAAGGTTCGGACTGCAACTTGTAACTAACAATACTCAGGCACCAAAGAACATTTTTTTTTTTTTTAACAGAGCACCTGCCAAATTTCTAAATAGAAAAAAAGCATAATTTTAAAAAGTTTTACTGTATTTCTATTCCTTTACCTGTTTCTTCTTCTTTATATATCGTTCTTCCTTCCCACACTGCTTCAATCAGTCATCTCTGAGTTAAGACTTTTTAAGTCATCTTGCAGGATACCCTTGAGATCTGACTTTCTTTATAGATCATGCTTTAAATGATCTTGAATGTAGAAGAAACAAAAACCCAAGTAACTACTTTCCATGTGTGCAGGCATGGCTATAGAGTACTATTCAAATAAATCTGGCCCCAGGTAAGCTTCTCCACCCTCTACCTCTTTCAATCAAGCCCTGAACTGCCCACAATGAACTACTATCGCATTCCCTAAATACACCATGGACTTTTAAACACCCTTGCCTTATGTTCATGATGTTCTTTCAGCCTTAATGTCTTCATTCTCTAGGTCAGGATTTGAAATAAACTTTAGTTTTACTTCTTTTGTCATACTCTCCTTAATCCCCACAGTTGGGAGAGAAGAAAACTGGAAAGGCAAGACTCAAATCTTACTTGTCTCTGCATCCTTGGTATCTAGCATACTCTGCACCAAAATACTCAGATGAGCCAAATAAACTGGCCCTTGCCCTGGATGCCCTCAACACCCCACCTTGCAATCACTTTGCTGTCTACCTGAATACAATTTTTCAAAGGTACTCTGGTGTTGGCAAACTTCATGAGCAATGCTAAATATCGTATAGAAAACAGAGGTTGGGAATGTACAAATAATGATTATATGTTTATGCGGAGAGAATAGAAGACTTCTTTCCTGTTTTTATTGTTTCCAAAATTTCTCCCCCAATCACCTTCTGCTGAGGTGTTTTTAACTTAGCAAAAATGGCTGGCATACTGTAATGACTCAATAAAATTACAGCTATCGTTATCAGAAAGCTGTACAGAATGGCGCTTTCCCTATGCTTTAGATTTTGACAAATCTGACTTCAAAACCCAGCTTTGCTACTGATTAGCTGAAAAGCCTTGGGCAAATTACTTAACCTTTTTGAACGTTAGGCTGTACATCTTTGAAAGGGGGGTAAAAAAAAGTGCCTAGCATAGAATTTTTGTTAGGAATTCATGAAATAAATATAAAAGTGCCTGGCATACAGTAAGACAGACCACAAATGTTGGCTGTCCTTTAACTTTTAGAACTTGCTAGTGTGATATGGTCTGCTGACACGGATTCATCACCCTTTTGATGTGCAGCTAGAAATATTAATCTGGATTTCCAACCCAGACTTCTCTTCTGGGATCCAGACCTCTATTTCCAAAGGCTTCTTTGAAAGCATTTCTACTCATGATTTCCACTGAAACCTCATTTTAAGTGTGCATAAGTGAACTCATTATGTTCCCCTCCAAACAAACCTGCTCTTCCTATATTCCCAATCTCATTTACCGGCATTTTATTAGATCCTTTCCTTTTCTCCACATTCTGTTTTGCCAAGGTTCCTGATGACTCTACATCCATAACTACACCAAGAATCTGTTTCTGACCCTACCACCAGTAGCTGTTTTCTCTTGTGTAGATCACTAGATTAGCCTGTTTAATCTCTTCTTCCCGTTCTGATCCCTTTCACGCTGCTCAACATGAATGCTCAGTATGCTGCACTTCTGATTAAAGTCCTATACATTATAAGCTGGTTGATTCTCAGGACTCTCCTAGCACTTTACGGATATTTTTACAAATACCTAGGTCATAACGGCATAACTTTTTGTTTTTAGGTCTGCTTCTCTCACAAGCTTATGAAATCTTTCAGGGAAGAGACCAAATCATTTTCACTGTTTCTGCACATAGTGAAAGTGTAAGATAGGAAATGAAGGACTCTATCGCACTTTAGTAAGCACCGTTTTAATCAACAGGATCCTGCTCCTTGCCGACCATTTGCTGCTTTTAACACACCTATTGGCAATCTTAGGAGCCGCAGTTCTGTGCCGGACATGTAGAGTTAAATCCCTCCAGCACTGTCACTTCTTGGACATTTGTGCCAAAATACTGACATCGCCACTGAAATTTCCCACAAAGCATCTGAAATGAACATGGAAATAAATTCATTTCTTTTGCTTACTTGATGTACCAGCACCAGATAATCTGCCCTGCAAGGCCGTGCATTTAGGATGCACTTTTATTAATGAGAACATCACTGGTCAGATCATGTGACTGATGAAGGAAGATACTGTAAACTCTGATACCCTGTAACTGTGATCCTAAATGTTTGCCATATGCCTTCCATTTCAGACATTAATGATGGTTACTAATCAACATCTAAAGAAACTAGGCCAGTGTCCTTTTGTTACAGGAAAAATCAAATCAAATCAAGGGATCAATATTTTGTTTTGCTTTAGAAGCTCACAGTAACCCTTGAAACTCGGAACAAAAAACCCACAGGTGTGAATCACTGCCTGCGGTCTCTTCCTAAAGAAAAGACAGAGACTTAACACTACTTGGTGGTAACAAATAACTGCTAAAGCGGAATTAAAAGGCAGGATTTCTAGCACATACTGATATTTAGAAGTCAAATAACTGGTGATAACACTGATTTAAAATGACCTACTTAAGTCAAAAATCATTTCAGTTGATTTCTTAATCTAGGTTTTTCCAACCTTTGGAAGAGTCTCCCACTAGGAAAGGGTAGCGTATGAGGCAGTTTTGTCATTATAGTGCAAATGACCGAACAGATTTGATTCTGTAATTTTGTCACACTCAAGGTCACAAATGATCTTGCCATACTATATATGAAGTGGACTCTAAATATTCACTGTGACCTATGGGGGTTATGAGTATAAAACAACGGAAAACAAGATTTCAGTCTCATTTCTTCATAAACACTTCATTACACAAGGTTCAAGAAACAGGGAGCTAATTTTTGATGGTCTATTTTTTTTTCTCAAGGGATACATCTAAATTTAGGATTTGATATAATATTAAGAGATTAAGTACAAACAACACTTTGTCTAAATTGTTTTCAGATGCTGCCCTAACTCTCTCTTCAAAGTCCCGAACTATCCCAATCCACTCAGGAAAGCATGAATCCAAAAACCGATTCTCAACTTCTGAGATCCTACCATAGAAGAAATGCAGATACCCAACCAATGCTAATAAAACAAAAACCAAAAACCAAAACCCTCCGTTAGCAAAGCAAAGCAAGCATTCCACCTTCTTTCAGTGTTTCTTTAAAAGAAAAATAAGGTGGTGGTGGGGGGAGAAATTTAAGCTGCAGAAACTGGAGGATCTGCATGACGTCTAGGAGAAGTTTAGGCGATAAACGTAATAACCTGGCAAGAACGAGCACCTTGCAAGAACGAGCACCTGGCAAGAACGAGCACCCGGCAAGAACGAGCACCCGGCAAGAACGAGCACCCGGCAAGAACGAGCACCTGGCAAGAAAGAGCACCCGGCAAGAACGAGCACCTGGCAAGAATGAGCACCTTGCAAGAAACAGCACCTGGCAAGAACCAGCGCCTTTCAAGAACCAGCACCTGGTAAGAACGAGCACCTTGCAAGAACCAGCAACTGGCAAGAACGAGCACCTGGCAAGAACGAGCACCTTGCAAGAACGCGCATCTTGCAAAAACCAGCACCTGGCAAGAACGAGCACCTTGCAAGAACCAGCACCTGGCAAGAACGAGCACCTTGCAAGAACCAGCACCTTGCAAGAACCAGCACCTTGCAAGAACGAGCACCTTGCAAGAACCAGCACCTGGCAAGAACCAGCACCTTGCAAGAACGAGCACCTGGCAAGAATGAGCACCTTGCAAGAACCAGCACCTGGCAAGAACGAGCACCTTGCAAGAACCAGCACCTGGCAAGAACCAGCACCTTGCAAGAACGAGCACCTGGCAAGAATGAGCACCTTGAAAGAAACAGCACCTGGCAAGAACCAGCGCCTTTCAAGAACCAGCACCTGGTAAGAACGAGCACCTTGCAAGAACCACCAACTGGCAAGAACCAGCACCTTGCAAGAACGCGCATCTTTCAAGAACGAGCACCTGGCAAGAACGAGCACCTGGCAAGAACCAGCACCTTGCAAGAACCACCACCTGGCAAGAACGAGCACCTTGGCAGGAACCAGCACCTTGCAAGAAGGAGCACCTTGCGCTACAAATCACGCGGCCAGCAGATGACCCCAAGTCCCCCCAGCTAGCACAGAACCCGGAAGTAGCTCCCAGATGCAGTCTTGGGAGTCCAGGCCACGGACGGTTCTCCGCAGGCCCCTGGCGATGAGCCTACAAGGCCCTCCCGGAGGGCTGAGCCCACAGACAGGGCCCTGGGGCAGTGCCAGCCAGCCGCAGGGTGGGCAGAGGGCGGGGAGGCGCCGGGACTGCTCCCCAGAGCCGAGCCCGCAGGTTTCCGCTCTGTAACGAAGGCAGTCACCGCGCTCTCCATCCCGACCCCGCACGCTCCTCGGAGATGAAGATAAACTGCGCCAAGATTCTCTGGGAGGAGGGGAGGGGGTCGGGTCCCACACGCGGCGAAGGGTCGGAGGGGAGGGGGGACACGTCCACTCCAGGGCCGGCACGTCACCCGAAACGGTGACCGCAGCCCGAGTGGCGCCAGCCCGACGGAGCGTCTCCCCCTCCCAGGTCCGTCGCCATCACCTCCTTCTCCTCTCCGCCTACTCCTGCGCTTTCCACCGCGGTCGCCGCCTCCTCGCAGGGGGCTCGCATCGCCGGCGCCCGCGCGCCACTTCCGCCTACGTGTCTCCGCGCGCGTGCGCGGTTGCGCCGCCCCGCCCCCTGGGCGGCCTGGGCCCTCGGGGGCGGGGCGGGGGCGGGGCGCGGTCAGCTCTCGCGCATGCTCTGTGCTCTCCGAAAGGCGGCGGGAGCGTAGTGGGCCTGGCGGCGCGAGGGTCGCCCTTCCGCGCTCGGGAGCGGGGAGCGCCGATCCGGTCGAGCGTTCTCATCCAACGATCGGCGCTCGCCTGTTGCGGGGCTGGGAGCCTCCGCAGCCTCCCCGGTGCTGCGGCTGGCGCTGCCTGTGCCTCACCCCCCCGTAGACCGCCGTGCCAGAGACCACGAGCCCTGCGCGGAAATTTGAAATTTGAAATTTGGGAAAGAAGCCTAGTGGAGAATGTTGAACCTGGATTTAGAAACCCTGGAGTTCCCTCTTCCCTCTTCTTGATCCAAACGAGACGGACGTAGTCACCCTTACCTGTCTCGGTTTTGATGCGCTTGCCTGACTTGCACCTGCTTTCTGCTGAAGGTGTTCAGGTGGGCGCACCTGGGTTGCTTCTGACGTTACAATTCACCCCGTAGCTACAGCAACCTCACCTTGCCACGTGGCACGAAGGTTGCTGGCATTGTTTCGACGGTGCCTCTTACTGCTCGGAATGTAAACCCCGTAGCTCTACCAGTCGTCACAACTAAGCACGCATCCTGCATATAGGGCTAGGTCTGCACTGGGATGCAATGACCTAAACACCGAGATGGGATAAGAGATATTTTTAGGTAAAATAAAATGACCCGGAAGGCCCAGATTTACCGTAAGGAAACCAGACTATTTTTCGAGTATGTGGTTTGGATACCCAGAAGGGGTCGAACTGGATCAAAATGTATGCTAGAATCCAGGCAGTTGTGCAGCTTTTAAAATTTCACAAGCATTATACAGAAAGGGCAGCACTTGTATTTTGCATCGGGTGTGAGGGTTTATATGAAAGAGTACCCTCTAATGCTTACCATAAGTGGTGAGTTTGGCTAGAGTTTTTTTTTTTTTTTTTTAATCCTTACCAACCTCGTACAAGGTCAGTGTTATCAGCGTTTTATACATGTTGAAATTAAGACTTAGAGAATTTTAATTTCCTTAAAGAAACAGTAAGTGACAAAGTGTTACCACTTTGATGATGCCATAGTGTTACCTAATTAATGTGGATTTAAAAGCATTCAAAGTGTTACCACTATGATGCCACAGTGTTACCTAATTAATGTGGATTTAAAAGCATTCAGGTAACATTTATTGAGCACTTATTAAATGGGTTTATTCATGAGTCATATACATAATCCATAAATTATAAGTATGGGCTCCCTGCCCTCGAGGAGTTATGGATACACAAGAGAGGGTAAATAAATGTCAGCATAAAACAACTTACTGTACAAGAGTTGTGATAAGATACACTCTACTCATGCCTGGACAATTATGGTGGCCTTCTGATAGGTCTTTCCATTTCCCCGTGATCTTTCTAATTCCAATTTCCATTCAGCAGACAGAATGATTTATTTATTTATTTATTTATTTATTTATTTATTTATTTATTTATTTATCCAGAATGATCCTTTTAGAACTTGTGACAGAATGTACCATTCCTCTGCTCAGAACTCTTCAATGGCTTATTGTTTTACTCAGATTAAAGTTCAAAACCCTTACCATGGCTTCTCAGATCTTGATCTTAGAAGGAAGAAGAAGAAAGATCTTGATCTGACGATCAAGCTTTCTACAGCTTTCTACAGCCTCTCTTCAGAGTCCGTCTACCCTCTCCAAGCACCAGTGCTCTGGACTTACCATTCCCTCTGTGTGGAGCACTACTCTCTCAGATACGCACAGGAGGTGCTTCTTCACTTTCTTCAGGTCTCTGCTCAAATGGAACCTGGTCAGACAGTTCTTTCCCTGACTACCCTATCTAGAAGCACTAAGACACTGTCCTCACTCTGCATTTCTTGTCTTCATAACAGTTATGATTTATTCCCATATATTTGTTGCTTGTGCCTCCCACACCTATTTTGCCCTATTTGAACGTTTGTTTTATGAGGACAGAGACTTTTGTCTCGTTCAGAGGTGTGGTGCCATCATTTAGAACTTGGTACATCTTGGTATTTGGTCTGCACTCAGTAAATATTTGATAAATGATTAAGATGAAATGGCAAATGAGTGTTAGGACAATAGTACAGGAAGCCAGAACAAGTAAAGTATTGGCTGGCATGGCTTATGAAAGCTTCCTCTAAAAAGCAGAACCTAGATTATAAGGATTCCATTGGGTTTTGGAATTGAGGAAAAGGGGGAAGGAAGGGCAGTTGAAGTAGAGTTAATCAAAATGAATAGAGACATTAGATGAGGCAGTAATCAGAGCTACAGTAATGCTAATATGCCGAGCTCCAAAAGCAAAACTAAAACAGGAAAACTGGTAATAGCTGATCTGTGAAAATTCAGCCTTGCCTCACTGAGGGCTGGCTTATCATATCCCTCTTTACTAGCAAATCCGATCCTTCCTAGATTGTTTCTATCAGCTAATACCAATTCCAGACTGATTGGAAAATACACTAAGAGAATAGCTGGAATTTGTTTTAGACTCTGAGAAAGAAAATACTGGAAATAACATAGAATGTAATGTTTAAATAAAGCATGAAGTTACATGCATAAAGATATCTCATGTGCCTGAAAAATAAATAAAATAATAAAATATTAAAAAAACCAACCGTACATGGGAAAAAAACTTTAGGAATTCAGAGTAATTTTATATTAATTCAAATAAGCAGTACTTTAATCTAATATTAAAAATATTTTTAGTGTAAAGATCAATATTATAGACTAAATTGTGTTTCCCCCCCCAAATTCATATGTTTACATCTTAGCATCTTAGTATCTTAGTATCTTAGTATCTCAAGGTATGATTGTACTTGGAGACAGGGTCTTTCAAGATCCTGGTCTAAGGTAGAATGAGGCAATAAGGGTGGGCCCTAATCCAAGCTGATGGGCATCCAATAAATAAATACATAAATAAATAAATAAATAAATAAATAAATAAAGGTGGGGGAATTGGGAAATGGCTGGAGGTCTCAGAACTTTTTTTTTTCCAGGACAAGCTGGGGTTTGTATATCATCCAGGTATAGACCTGGATGTCTCTGTAGGGAATCCCTTAAATACACTCAGAGAAAGAATAGCAATCATTTAACAGAAAGAAAAAACAGAGTAGAAAAGGTGATATGCAGCAGTTGTCAAAAAAAAGAGAGAGAAGAAAGAAAAAGAGGAAAAAGAAAAAAAGAGAATTTTAAGACAAATGTATTTATAGGAGGAAGGCCATGTGAAGACAGCTAGGAAGAGGGGCCTCAGAAGATACCAACCCAACCAATATGTTGATCTTAGACTTCTAGCCTCCAGAACCATGAGGAAATAAATATTTGTGGCTTAAGGCACCAGTCTGTGGTATTTTGTTATGACAACTCTAGCAAAGTAATACAATAAGTGCAATATTTTTACATGTCAAATGTGAGTTAAATGATGGGTATCTGAGTATTACTAATTATAGAGTAGATGTTTAATAGATACTGACTCCATTACATCACTGTGAGACCCTAGTGATGGCAGTTGTGGGTAACTAAAGGTGTGCAGCTATGAACTGATTATCAACCCCTAAGAAATTCGTAGTCCTATTGCATCAAAAGCCTATGGTGTCCTGACTCATATCCTGAGCATTGCCTCTGTTTTTGGACTTGGTTGTAGTTCATGCAAAGTTGTCCCTCTTCCCTGACAGCTTCCTTTCTCTTCCATTCTATGCTTTCTACCCTGAGGAGCCTCTGACTTTGTGGACTCTGATGGCAACAGTAGTCCTCTTCACTCACACCTTGCACACCTTTGAAGTGTTGGTGAGTTAACACTCCAGGGCCAGCCTTCAACCAACGGATGACAGTATCCGATGGATAAAGCCTTCTGCCTCTTACCTTTTATCAAGGCAGTTCAGTAGGGCCATTCTGGGTGCTTCTCAAGAGGTCATGGGGAAATTGAATTGTCTGCTGCAGCAACTTCAGCTGCTGCGGTATACCTTTCTCTTCATTCTCTCACTGCTTCTCAATAGGATCACCTTTCAAATGACCTGTCCACAAGTACCTGTTTTTGGTTATGCTTTTGAGGGAAACCAACCTAAGAACATTGGTGTAGGAAGAAAGCATCAAATGCAGCCCCTCAGGTGTCCAGGTCACTCACTAGTCAGATAGCAACAGGAATATCTCCTGCTGCACTAGGGAATCACAATCACTAAGGCTTCTTTTACCTGTGCATGATGGAAGATGAACAATGAAACACTAGAGCATGGTAGCTGTAACACTTGAATGGGAAGAGACAAGGGCACTTAGAAGGATAGCAGAATTTGCTGGCTTTTCTTTTTTTAAATTTTTTCTTTTTTCTATTATTTTGACTTTCATGGACATCCATCTATCAACTCAGGGCTCACCAGGAGAGATAGGAAACCTTCATATCAGCATCTAAAGAGATCCTCATTGTTTGCAGCCACAGGACAGAGTGCTACAACTCCTGTTCAAGAGTTAGTTATAGAGATGGCTGAGTTGATTGGTAACTGAATGTGCATCCTCGGCAGATCTCTAATGCTAGATTCAGGGCCTTGATAGGGAAAGAAAAGAACCTAGGAAGGGGAAAATTGTGTGGGTGATCTCAGGAGCCTTCCACCTTGAAATTCCCTTGAGCCCTTTGGGCAGATAGAAAACCCCTCCTCCCCTTTGTGCAGGGAGAAAGAACAACTCCCACTCCCACCTGAAGACAATGAAAAGACCTCATCAGAGACAGGTGCCTAACACGATCATGCTTGTCTTCAAGATCTGCTCCAACCTCCCCTCATTGCCTCCAGACTGAAAATTAGGTGAGCTCTTAGTACAGCTTGAGTAGAGAAGTGCAGTCCCTTCTCTGGAAGGAAATAATTGTGTCACCCAAGGAATCACTAGATCTAACTGAT